ATTGAACATGTCATTAGTTGAATTAATGTAATTTTGTAAATATAAGAAAAATTAATTATAGTACGAAACCAAAGAACCGAAAGAAACTGAACCCAAACGTTTTCATAACTAGATTTGAACTTGACGATTCCACTTACTAACTACTTTAAAATTCCGAGTCTGGTTCGATTTTAATGAAAATCGAATCGAATTGGATCATGTCCAGAATTAGTTTAAAGTGCTACATATTAATTAGAATTTATTGGTCATGCATAATCATGGTGTTCTGGCTTTTCATTCTTCATATTCGTTTATTGAAATACATATGACCCACCTGCTTTGCTTAGTCTACACATTCATTTGTATCAACCACCAACAAATTTTTCTTCGTCCAAATTTAATGGGGGCAATTGCACCCACTGGCATGTGTGGTGTAATGGTCAGCTTTCTCTATCATGACTTCATTTCTTTATTCCTAAAGCCTTGGACCCTCAAAATAAGATTGACCATTTTAATTTTAATTAATGATCACTGAATCTTGTGTTTAATTTTAAATCTAGTTATTGAAATGAAGTAAAGTTAACTACTACTACTATTATTTTATTTTACTTTTTGCTTAATTTTGGTGGACTTTGGCTTGATCCTCCGATGGCACCTCGAACAAAGCCATTTATTCTTAATTTGCTTCGAAAAAGGGACCAAAATGACAACAAAAGATGAAATAGAATAAAAATTTGTAGTATACAAATTGTTATTTAAGAGAAATTGACTCTAGTTAGTCGACCTTGGGATGTAAGGGGTGCTACGTGGATTCATTTGTATAACTTTATTAACTTAAGTGATTAAAAAAGTGAAAATTTACTTCAAAGGATCAATTTGAATTTTCAAACAAACTTGAGCGACCATTTGTGAAATTAACTGATATAAACTTATTTGTGTGGGGATGTTCAGTACACATTATAGGCAGTGTTTTAAAAAAACGTAAAGTGTATCTAAGCATGGATGCCAAGTTTTAAACTTTACGAGCTTAAGCAAGACCTATGCATAAAAAAACGTTTTCTTATTTTTAATATTATTTTAAATTTTTAATCATTCTAAAAATTATTTAATAATTAAAATAATACATACCAAACAATCAAGATTATGAAATACTATATTTGCTTAATAATTTCTATAATTAGTCAATTATACAAAATTTAAAGGAAAAACTTGGAACTAAAATCTAATAAAAGACTTAAAAAAAAAAAAGCTCGAGAAATAAAATGAAATTAGGCTATTATTTTGTGATGATCTAGTATAATAAACCTAACCCATTTAAGAAACGATCTATGAAAGCTCAACCCATTTAAAATTATGAAAGCTCAAGACATAAGTTAATACCCACTGAACTCCCCCCCCCCCCCCCCCAACTCCCAC